AAAAATACCATCTAAACTTTTCTAAAGACAGTAAGTTCCCCTCAGACATACATTCATATAAACTCCTACACCTAAATGAATCGCGATTTGTTTAGCATCTCAACCAATTTGAATCGTCACATATTTGAATCGATTCTCAACCGGCTCGCAGTTAATCGTTACATCCCTATGAATGATTAAATACATACACATTATAATATTGTTTAATATTGTTTAATTTTATATTATTTAATAATATATTTATATTAGTTAATATATAAATATTATAACAACTATTCTATCCTAATAAGACAAATATCAAATAATAAATGACCTCACAATACATTTATTTTCTAAATTAAACAATTTATAAAATAATTATATTATTTTTTTATTTATAAAATAATTGTGTATTTGTTTGCGTAGTATTTAATTTTGATTAAAATATTTTTAAATATAATTAAAAAGTAACAGATAATAAATGATCTCATGTATATTTAGTTTAAAATGGTTTATTAAAACCTTACAAAAGGGACATTCATGTTGTTGTCAATGTAAATGGACAGCAAGCGCCATCTAGTGGACTTCTAATGTCAGTAGCACCGCCAACATACGGTAAGGCCTGCATGCGCCACCTACAGGACACACCAGTCACAGCAACACTTTCCTTTGTTTACCAGCTGCGGCTAATATTTTTAAAACAATGAACTTTGCGCTGGTCTTTGCTTGCTAAAATGCTGCACTGTCTGCAGACCTACACATCAAGTACAACCAAAACTCCTTTGGAAACAGAAAACAAATAACGTACGAGCTCACAGGATTCAAAACATATTAACGACCGCATCATACCTCTACCTGACTTTCAGCTTGGGATGGCAGATGTTGGTCAGGTGTTGTGTTGTTTGTGTCGTAACCTCGTAATATTGCACATACATGTGTACTTATTTAATGTTAAAGTGGATAAATGATGATTTGTGTGTGAGTGAGTCCGTGTGTGTCTGTGACTCAATCTGTGCGGGGACGCGCGCGCTGAAGCGGGAATTTGCGCTGATCCCACGTTTCCATGGCGACAGCATAACGCAGTCAGGGGTCACGGCTGCAGGGAACGGCCAGAGAAACATCAACAGGAACTGCGGCTCAACTCCTGAGAGAGACGTGACAAAACTAGATTGCTCCCATTATAATCAGCACGTGGTACTGCTTGCGTCACTATCGCGACATATCATGTTGAAGCGATCTTAAGCAACAAAATCGCCCGAAAATCGTTAAAGGGGTCATATGATGCTGCTAAAAAGAACATTATTTTGTGTATTTCGTGTAATGAAATGTGTTTATGTGGTTTAAGGTAAAAAAAACACATTCTTTTCCACATACTGTACATTATTGTTGCTCCTCTATGCCCCGCCATTCTGAAACGCGGCGATTTTTACAAAGCTCATCGGTCTGAAAAGCGAGGTGTGCTGTGATTGGCCAGCTATCCAGTGCATTGTGATTGGCCGAATACCTCAAGCGTGTGACGGAAATGTTACGCCCCTTACCATATTGTGATGATGCCCTGTCAGGCCGGAGCGATGAGACAAAAACATTAAAACCCGTTATAAACGAGGCATTCGTTGCATCCAGTGGGGACATAATTAAGAGCTTGTAACACTCCAAAGAGAAAGGAAAAATTTAAATCGCATCATATGACCCCTTTAATTTAAAATGAGAGCAGGAGATTTATAGCAACAGAAACCGTTTACACTGAACTGCATTTACAACAACAAAGCAACCGGCAATTGTTTATTTTCAACATGCGATGATTCAATGATTATTTATTATAAATGATTATTATATAAATAAACATAATAAATATATAATTTACATATATAAATTGCATAAATATGTGTTTTTTTTTTGTTGTAATTGTTTGTTTTTATTTTATGTGTGTGTGTGTGTGTGTGTATAAGCCTATATATATATATATACTCGAAGAGTTTGGTTCCAAAACACTATAAATCCATTTTTATAAAAGTTATTTTTCATATTGAAACTGTTGAAAATACACAACATAGTAAGTTGATCCACATATGACAGCCTCTGAAATTGGTCAATAGACTACTAATCTTATAGGCCTATAGGCTACAGGCACTGGACTAAAAATATATTCAATCAGTCATCGCTCCCAAAATGAATTCAATGCGTCATCTTGTTAATGCTATAAATTAATTACAACAATAAAAGAAAACCTCATCATGAACATACATGAACAACAATATCAATTAAACCACAGAAATTCCAAAATGACATTTCCCTTACATTCAACTTCCAAAAGTGCATTCATCTTTGCCATGTTACATTCATTTAGTTGACTAGTGCTATAAGCTTTATTAACAAAAACATTATTGGCATAAATAAAAACACTTACACTGACAAGCTTACTATTAATCACAGAACCGGCTTTACTGACGAGATGCGCATGACAATCACATGTGATTTATCATGCAGCCCTAAGTTTGTTTGTTGATCACAAAATGCAAAATAGATGAGGAAAACTAGGATGCTGGGTGCATTCAAAGCACCGCCATTACTGTCAACAGTGCGTGGAAAAAAATCGAACCGTACGGTTTTCCACACACGGTTCGGCAGGCGCTAAGACCGCGGTTCAACTTAAATCTGACAATGCCAGTTTAAACATTTAAGAGCCGGTCTCAGCCAGAGGACGCGAGTTCGCGCAGTGAGAAAATTTGTGCGTGCGCTCATTCGAAGCGCCTCAGAACACACGCAAATATTAAGTTCTCTCTGATGTATTGTGTTTAAATGGACGAATTCAAAATGATGTTAAAATGCCCGTCTTGGTGAGTATCCTAGCAGACATAGTCGGCTGAACGTACTGTATCAGTGCACTGGATCAGTGCGTTCTCTTAAAGTGATAGCACTTTCTTTATATTAATCAAACAGCAACAACAAAGAAATCGCTCACTGCTCTTGATTAAATAGCTTTTGTAACTTTAATAAAGATTCATCTTTAATTTATACAGTCTAATATGCAATGCTGTTTTACATTTCATTACTTTATTCAATTTAAAAACTAATGTTAGACCTACCTAAAAATAAAAAAAAACTGAAAATCACTGTTTATTTTATTTGTATCTTT